CTAGGTTGTAAGTTATTTCTCCCTGAATAAACATCTATTCGGCCTATTTGTTTATCCTGATCCTCATTTACCGCGATAGTGTGCTCCTTGTCATTCCTTTTTTCACTGTCATTTCTTTCAAGAGATTTTTCCACATTCATGGTTCCGTTGACTGCTGGCTGTTTTACATGTCAGTGAACTTTACAGTTTTCCTTCTGTATGGGTTTCTGGTTTCATTTCACTGTGATCAAACTGTAGGGCTGGTATGACTTCATCCTTTTTCAATTTCTTACGGCATGTTTTGTGATCCAAAAGTATGGCCTATCCTGGAGGAGGCTCTGAGGAAAGTGCACACTCTATTATCACTGTATGGTGAGGGTGCTCTGTACATCTCAACTGTCCCTGGGTCCTTTTTACTTACTGCTCTGCACTCTGAAAAACCAATCCATTACTCAAAGTGGTGCGCCAGAATTCTCCCTGTTTTCTATTTTCCCATCAGTCTGTCAATGTGGGCTTTGTGTCTGTGGCATTCTGTTGTAGGCACAAATGTTTATAACTTACATCTTTGGTGAACTGACCCCTTTATTCTTCTGTAACATAATTTATCTCTTACAACAGTGATATGATAGATAGACTACACAACACACACACACGCACGCGCACACACACATACGCACATCATACTTTTGCTATCTTCCTTTCCTCTTCATCTTTGTATGTCTCTGTATCTAAAGTGAGATCCTTAGCCTGCAGATGTGACTCAGCTGGAGAGTACTAACCCAGCCACAAAAGCCATGGCTTTGATCCTAGCACCACATAAGCTGGGCATGGTGGTCGTCTAGGTTAAGGTTTCTATTGCTGTGACAGAACACCATGACCAAAATTCATGTTGGGGAACAAAGGGTTTATCTGGCTTACACTTCCACATTGCTGTTTGTCATGAGAGGAAGTCAGGACAGGAACTCAAACAGGGCAGGAACCTGGGGGCAGGAACTGATGCAGAGGCCATGGAGGATGCTCCTCATGGCTTGCTCAGCCTGCATTCTTACAGAATCCAGGACCATAAGCCCAGGGGTGGCCCCACCCACAATGGGCTGAGCCCTTTCCTATCAATCACTAATTTAGAAAATGTCTTATAGCTGGATCCTGTGGAGATCTTTCTCAATTGATGTTCCCTTCTTTCAGGTGACTGGAGCTTGTGTTAAGCTGATGTAAGATTAGCCAGCACAGTAGCATACACTTGGCATCCCAGCATCAGGGAGTATGAACAAATCCAAGGCCTTCCCCGCTACACAGCGAGTTTGAGGCCAGCCTGGGATACATGAGACCTTGTCAAAATGGAGTCATAAGATGATGAGAGATGAATAATCTCTGAGTCACTATCTGAGCGGATCTAATTTATGAGCAGAAAGATATTATACTCAAATAAATACACTCAAATTCTTAAAGGAAAGCAAAGCTGATTGAAATAGCTAAAAATGATTATAAGAGCAAAAGCAATATGACCTGTAAGGTGAGACTCTTGCTGTATCACTGATGCGGACAACCTTGAGTTCCAGTTGTGCTCACTTTGTGCAGTGGAGGAAGAATGTCTTGTCTTAGGTCATGAGTCGGTGATCTTTTTCTCCCTCTGGTGTCTGTATCCGGTACTGCAGAATCTCTGTACTGAGACAAGCTGGTTCCACTCTTTGTCCTTTGTGCCCGGGGCAGGCAGTGGGAGATCAGCATCTGGGCCTTTCTGCTTCCCACTCTTCCGAAAGCACGCCTGTGCCCTTCCCTTCATGGTGATTTGCTTATAACCCTGCCATTTCCATCCTGGTCCTAGAGATAGACTCAGGTCACCAAGCACAAATGCTCTTACCCCAGGGAGCCATCTCCACAGGGTACACCACACTCTGTAATAACTACTACACTGGTTATCAGTGGGGCAGCATTGGTTCGCACACTCGTGCACAGTGTATGGAATCCACACCTAATACACTGACGTGAGTGTTGCGAGCTTTATATATACATTGGATTATGCAGTGCCGCATGCTGCCTTCTCACCACTTATTTATGCAAAGGTTTTCAATGCCCTCAACAAACTGAACACCTTAAACTAACTTCCCTTTCTTTCCCAGTTTCTGCTCTGCCTTCTGTTCCAACAAATCTACCTATTCTAGGACTTCACGTAAGTGGAATAAAAAGATATTTGCTTCTGTGTTAGACTTGCTTTGCTAAGCATGCTTACATGCTCTACTTATGCTGATACATACATAAAACCTGTTTCTATCTACAACAGACGTATCCTCCATTGATGGGAGATGTCATTCTGTAAATGTTTCTCATGCTGGTTAATGAATAAAGCACTGTTGGCCAATAGGAAAGGAAGATAGGCGGGACTAGGAGACAAGGAGGAAAGAGTAAGTAGTAAGGAGGAGTCAACATGGAGAGTCTGGAGAAAGCAGAATGCCGGCCGGCTCCCCGGTAAGAGAAGACCACATGGAAATACATAGATAGCAGAAATGGGTTAGTACTTAAGACAGAGCTAGCCTATAAGAAACTAGTACCGGGCCAATAGCATTATATCAAATACAGAGTCTATGTGAGTTAATTGGGGCTGGCGCAGCGGCGGGACAAGACCAGCGGCAGGAAGAAAAACCTTACTCCTTACACTCCATGAAATATACATTTTGCTTATTAACAAGGCACCTGTTTTAATTATTTTAGGATAATTTCCTACTTAACTTTAGCCATCAACTTGACACAACTTAAAGTCACCTGATAAGGGAGTCTCAATTAAGGATTACACAAATCAGAGTAGCCTGTGGGGTGTCTTTGAGAGATGTCTTGAATGCTAATTGATGAGGGGCCCAGCCTGTTGTGGGTGGCATCATCCCTACCCTATGCAGGTGGTCCTGGCTGCCTAAGAATATACTCCATGTGCAGGGTCCTAAGAGTGAGCTAACAGTAGTATTCCTTCATAATTTCTGCTCCAAGTTCATGCTTAGGTTCCTGCCTTGACTTCGTCCTCAGCGACTGTGTGTGACCTGGAAGTAAAATAAGCCCTTTTCTCCCGAGTCCTTTTGATCAGTGTTTTATCACAGCAAAGGAAAGGAAAGGAGAGGAGAAATACACACTGCAGTGGATTTTCTGCATCACACCATAATTCTATTTAATTCTTCTTTCTAACACCAATCTGTTCTCCACAGTAGCTGCTCCGTTTTTTACCACCATCAGCAGCACACAGGACTCTAGTCTCTCCTCATCACATTTGGGCCTTCCCTTGTCCTTCTTCTACCGTCACCATGGTGGGGATCAAACAATACTTCACCATAGTCCTGGGTGGCATGCTTCCTAATGGGTGTGGCGCTGAGTGCCTTTTCTTTTGCTCGGTAGCCAGGTGGCTGCTTGTTTTAGCTCTATTTTCCAGAGACGGGGTCTGCACCCTGATCTGTATCTGAGGATGACCTCCCTGACCTTTGGGCCCTCCTGTCCTCAGTTCCCCAGTCCTGGGATCACGACTGTGTGCCAGGCCCTATTTTTCCAGGTGTGTATTTCTCTGGTAGCATGTCTATGTAAGCTGTGTCTTCTGCCTGTTTTGTTTTTCCTTTGCTTTGAACACAGAGCCTGGTGCATATAAGATGTCAGAACCCAGTCTTCTGCCAGTGAGGCAAGTCTCCAGCATCTGCATAGTGCTGGGTATCTGTTGCTGTTGTTTAAGAGTCTCTAGACATCCCAGACCCTGATTCCTTATGGAAGAACTGTTATTCTTTTAGACAAAGTCTCACTATGTAGCCCAGGCTGGCTTCAAGCTTATTAAGAAGTTCCAAGCTGGGGGCTGGGCATGGTAGTGCATGGCTTTTGTCCCAGCAATTGAGCAGGGGCAGAGGCAGAGAGATCTCTGTGAGTTTGAAGCCAACCTGGTCTACACCAGTCAAGTGTTCTACCACTGAGCTACCAAGCTCTCCCAAATTCTTAACTTGAGTAAAGTTCACTTTTCTCCGTTTAGAAAATCTACTATCTCCATCGTCATCACGCGCCAGCATCGCACCTGGAAGGGTGCGCGTGCCACAGGGCGTGTGCCATCGTGCCTGTGCAAGGTCAGAGGACAAGTGTTCTCTCCCCACCTTCCTGGCCTCTGAGGTTGGATTCAGGTCACCAGGCTTAAACAGTAAGCGCTTTCTTTACCCAGTGAGCTGCCGCTCTAGCTCTTCAATGTATCTTTCTTTGTAGTCCATACTTTCCGTGTTTTCTGTCACACCTAGAGGGGGAAATCTAGTGTCGCCAGGATCTTTGACAGAGTTTCCCTCTGACAGTCGTGACATTCACTTGCAATGCACTCAGAAAGGCAGAGGGCAAATGCCAGCTTTGAAAGAGCTCTGGGGCTGGCAAAAGTTTTAATTTTCTTGTGTGTGAGCAAAGTCTCTCAAGTGCCCGGATTCTTCTGTTAATGATTTGTTAAAAATGCAGTACTTAGCAATGAAAACAGTTCAGCTTTGCGCAGAGTGAAGAAACATCTGTGATGTGATTAACTGCCTTTTAATTTCTCTGAATCTGTCCGATTTGTTTAGTCTAGATTCTAGAATATTGAGTTCCTTAAGGTGGGTCACATATGCACACATCAAAATACCTGTTGCCTTGTAAATACCCCAATCTTGTGTACGGTGAGTACCTCAACACACATGGGGAAGCGGGGTAAGCAGATGAGCACGAGAGTGCCCACGTGCGCCCACGTGCGCCCACGCCTCGTCCTGCAGAGAGCCTCGGGCTCGTTTCCCTTTGTGCTCCTTCCTGTACAGCCAGGGCTTGTCCTGGTGCACACACCAAAGGCATTTCGTACTTAACTTCCCCGTGACTGCTGGGCGAGCAGTGAGTTTAAAAAGAATACCTAAAAGAACTTCCCACTAATACACTCTCTCCACACAAGACTCTAGGTGCACCGTGAATATGCATGTCTGATAGTCAGTGACCCTTTCCCTGAAGTAACCAAGCAACACCTTCTGAAACCCAAGCAGAGGGATATTCGGCTTAACACCTACCGGCTTTGAGTGTTCGATCCATTAAGATGACTCTCTCTAAGCTCAGACACTAATGACAAAACCATCTGTAAAACAAAATGAGACGCAGGTCAGCTCACTCTGCGGCACAGTTACCTCAGCTCCGGCTCTGCTGCTTCGAGTGACAGACACATCCCTTACCACTCCCTCCCCACCCTCCCTGGCAGAGTGAGAGGAAGGCAACATCTCCTCACACTGACTGCCACGTGGTCTCTGCACTTAACATCTGCGATTCTACAGAAGCAACGGTCACAGATCGGTCATCAGCGTCCTAGATTAACACCAAACCCACAAAAAATCAAAACATACTGGAGTTTACTTATTTTCTTCCTCCTTTAGTTCCTTTTTTAAAATGTGCTTTTCAGCATAAGGCTTCCAAAACATAAAAACAGGTAGTCACAGCCAAAGTTCTCGCTTTCAGAAGAGCATAGTGCGTGTGTGGGTGCACACTCCACGGCACTCGACGGAAGCCAGAGGACATCTCTTCCACCTTGATCAGTGTGGGAACTGACTGAGGACCAAACTCAGGGCACATGTTTTCGTGGCACCTGGGCCATCCTGTCAGCCCTTCAGTTAATGTTCTGCTTTGTTTCATCATAAAATCCCATCAGGCTATTTTAGATGTGGTATCTGCTTAGAGGTCCGCCCTATGGTCACCCAAGTGTTCTTAAAGAGATGTGAGAATCCAATGGCCCCTCACATCTCCTTCCACGGTCGGTCACAGGTCTACCCCAGGTAAGGAATGAGCAAAAGTTCTATGATTCCCTGGAAGAGGAAGACGTCCAGTTTAACCTCCACATAGGTGTTGAGGATTTCAATACGAATTAAGTAAGATACTCACATTTTTAAGCAAACTAGGATAGTAATCAACAGGCTCATATCCGAGACTTTCAGCAAAAAGACCAACTTCTTTCATGTTGAATCTGAATGTGCAAAGTATATGAGATAACAATCCCTAAAAAACAAAAGGAGAAACAGTCAACTTCTCCCAAGTGGACGGAGGTGCTTGCGATGAGTAAATCCTGAAGTGACACGGTTCCTATAAAAACCAATCATTCCCACGTTGGTCAATGGAATCAAATCGAGGACCCAGACATGAATCCACATACAAGAGAATAAGAAAGCATATTCAACAAATGTTGATGGATGTTGGCATGCAGAAGGAAGCAAATAGATCAATATCTACACCCTGCACAAAACTCAAGTCCAAGGGGATCAAAGGCCTCAGCATGAAACCAGATACACTGACTTGAACCTGATCGAAGAGAAAGTAGGAAATAGCCCTGAACACAATAGCACAGGAGACAGCCTCTAGAAACGAAACATCAATAGCACAGACACTCTGACAATTAGCAAAGGATGCCTCATGGAACTGGAGAGCTTCTGTAAGGCAAAGGACACGGTCAATAGGACACTCACACACTTTGCTACAAGCAGACCTACTAAAATGCCTATCAAATACTTTGTTGTGCCTGCATAAGCTGAAGGAAATGAAATCTAACACTAGGGGTCATGATCAAAAAGGCTCATTTTATTGTTGTGCTGTGAGCAATGTCTGACGACAGGGATGAGACAGGATAAAGTGCGTATATGAATAAAGATGGGCAGAAATGACAGCGAGACAGAAGTCCTGTGTTAACTCCCACGGTGGGCACAGACCCCATGGCGTACATGCTGGATGCCTGCATCTTTACAGCATCTATCAGGATGCCTGTTTCCATTTCATCATGAAATAGTTCACATCTTCAAAAATGATTAAGGTCACAAGATACACTTCAACAACCATAAGATTTAGTGCCCAGGACTTCCGCTTAGACAACTTTATAGAGAGAGCTGCTTCAGTAACTCAGTAGCAGGAAGCTACTTCAATCTCTTAAACCACATCAAACACCAGAGACTTGGCCATTCTGTTGACAGCAATGAACACACCAGAGGAGAAACAGAGCTCAGATGGTAAGAGGGGCTTTCGGAGAATGTACTGCACAGGCTCCTTACTACAAGGAGCAGTGAATACTTGGAGTCACTTGTATGTTATTGCTGCTTTCCTTTCTGTTCAAACTTGTGCTAAGAGGGGAAGATAGACCAGTTAACCCCACATCCCTAGGAGGGATCTCTCTGAGTTCTTTCCAACAGCTAAGTGTGGTGTTGTGAAAACGAGCCATTGCTGTGGAAGCCACGGGGAGCAGCAGGCCCTACTGTGTGTGTCGTCTTCCCTCAGAGCTGCTCACACCACACAGAAGGACTCCAGGAACTCGGCGGGAAGGCAAGGACACCGAGGCTAGTCCCCCACCCATGTACCAGGGAAGCACCATAGGCAGGAAAGGCCTGCCTAGGTCAAAGCCATACGGAGGGGTCCCAGGTGTGGCCCAGGCTGGGGAGGCTTGGTCTGGACATCAGCAGCTCTGGGTTTAGTATGATAAAGCCAGGATGAGGAAGGACAGCACTGGAGATCTTGTCCTCCAAAACCAACACTGAAAGCACTTTATTCAGGAGCAGCCATGGCCGCTTCACAGACCAGCACTCCCAATCTTCATACCATGCAAACACTCTCTGGAACCTTCCTTACAGGTAAGGATACCAAGACACAGCTTAAGTGCTGCCAAGGCTGGTGCCCACCCACATGGCCAATCTCTTAAGGAGGAACTCTCCACAAAATCGATGGATGTGAATCAGATCAGTATGGGTAGGCCCTTAGAGCTCCCAGTAACTCTACTATGAAGTCCAAATGTCTCCCCAGGGTCAAGCAGTCTGGCCCCACCTCTCTGAAAGGAGAGAGCAAGCCTTCAGGTATAAGCAAGAGCCTTATTAGAAGACAGACAACAGACAGACGGGAGGGAGGAAGATCAGTCACAGATAGTATGAGATTCAGGGCTGGAGAGGCGGGCCCTTGAGTTCTAAAGGAAGAAGGGAGCTGCTTGCTCACATGGGTTTGAGGGGTCAGGGGTTTGAGGGGTTGTACACATGAGTTAGTGTAGATGTAGCATTGAACCCTGGTTATCAAACCTGCATGGCAAATGCATTTACCCACTGAGCCATGTCATATCTCTATTACATCTTTTAATAATAAAAATATTTGCAAAACAAAATTGCATGACTTAACTTCTGTTTTGTCTATGATTCCCTGATATGAACCGCTACAGAGGAGCCCAGAGGTCCAGCCTCAGATAAAACAATCATTAGACACAAAAGTGGCAAGCTGAGTCCTCCCCTGGGCTGACAGGCTCTAAGAAAAAGCTTTAGAGTTGAAATCTCTTGTTAAAAGTAGATTCCATGGGCCGGGGAGAGAGATCAGGGGTTAAAAGCACTGGCTACTCTTCAAAAGGGTCCAGGTTCAATTCCCAGAACCCACATAGTGTCTTACAACTGTCTGTAACTCCAGTCCAAGGAGCTTCAATGGCCCCTTCTGGAGGCTCCAGACAAACATGTGGTGCCTAGACCTAAAATCCTCAATATATAAAATAAATATTAAAACTTAAACTTCAAAATTAATTAAGCTGTGTCAAGGATGTAGCTCAGTGGCAGAGTGCAGACTAGAGAACCTGTCAGTTCTCAATACCAAAACAACCAGCAAAATAAAAATCATTTCTTACTCATAGGGATATCTGTTTTACTGCCACCTAGTGGCAAGATCTTTAAACACAGAACCATGAAAGGCAAGGAAGGCACTGGCTGCCTGCTCTAACAGGAGGAGCAAGCTCTTTCAAAGCCACGTTGATCCTGGAAGCTCGCTGACTCTACCCTCCTGGGTCACTAACATGAGAGACTAGCCAGGGACTAACCAGGAACACAAACTACTGTCTGCAAACAGAACATGCAGAATCGGCCGTGTGCTGGCGATAAATCGATGCAAATACTGCAGTTCTGCTCTTTCTAAAGCCCCTCAGAGGTCAAAGTGCAGAAACCAACATGGCTACAGCACTTGAAATACCGGAGCACATACACACCTGCCACAGTGTGCATGCAGAGCTGAGGGCAGTTTTCCAGAGTCTTCTCTCTGGTAGATATGTGGGTTCCCAGTTCAGTGGCAAGAGCCTTTACCTGATGACACACCTCACTAGCCCACACCCAATGACTTCTCAAAAGACATTTTTGTGTGTGTGAGTGGATGCCTGCCTGTATGCATGCATGTATGTATGTATGTATGTATGTATGTATGTGCACAATGTGCATGAAGTGTCCTTGGGCGCCAGAAGAGGGCATGAAACCCTTTGGGGTTGGAGTTATACAGAGGGTTGTGAGCTGCCACGTGGGTGCTGATAACTTAAACTGGGTCCTCTGCAAACACTCTTTACCACCGAGCTGCCTCTCCAGCCCCATACAAAAGGATTGTAAGCTCCTTGTTGATTCATGAACTTATTTTAAGAATGAAAGTTTTCTTGCTACTTGAGGATCACTGGAAATGTCTGCTCTAAGAAGACACGCCTCTCACGTGTGTGCCCTTGCTCTCACGTGGTGTTCTGTCGTCCCCCCTCCCCCCTTGCTGATGTCTGGGCAGCATGTTTATTCTCTGGGCAGATTACGAGGCTAGGACATGTATGGTCAAGGTAGAAAGAGGTGTACGTGGAGATTTCCTGTCCTGGCTGTCTGCTCCCAAATAACCAACACAGAGGCTTAATATTACTTATAAATGCTCAGCCGACAGCTCAGGCTTGTTACTAGCTAACGCTTACACTTAACCCATATTTTTTATCTATCCTTTGCCACCTGGCTCATAGCTTGTTTCCTCACTTTAACCATGCCCTGCTTCCTCGGTGGCTGGCTCCGAGGCCTCCTCCGACTCCGCCCTGCTTCCTCCCATCATCCTCAGGTTGACCCTCCCACCTGACTTTATCCTGTTCAGCTACTGGCCAGTCAGCTCGTTTATTAAACCAGTCATAGTGACACATATTCACACAGCGCACAGACACATAATTGAGTGCAGGGCTCACTCAAACAAAGGACTGGTAGATCCAAACTGTGGTCCATATTCCTGAACCAAGACAAAGCACATATTTCATACTTCCTTAAAACAATTTCTTTGTCTAATCATTAAAATCTTCTAGAATACCTACCCCTGCAGTCTCCATTGCTCATGTCTCTTTATTCGTGTTTTTAAATCTGTTTGAAAACTAGAATCTTTCATTCATTCAACAAATACACTGAGGGCAGTATATGTTCTACTGAAACTGGTAGGCTAACACCCCATAGACTGATGGGCAGCAGAGACAGGAAGAGTAAGTGCTGTAAAGGTGCAATGTCTGTCAATCTCTCTGCAAACAGAAGGAAAAATGACTCCAGCCTAGTTTTCTGAGCACTTGAGAGTGATGACACCTGAGCCTGAACAGCGCAAGGGAAACGTGAGAAGGGAAACGTGAGTGACCAGGAGAAAGCCAGCGCTGAACACACGGTCCTGGCCCAGCACTGTGGCTGCGGCTCTTACCTAAGTCCAAGCACGGGCCCACCCTCCCCACCCTCTTCACCCCCTCCACCCCACCCTCCTCACCCTCTCCACCCAGCCAAACTCAACTTTCTAACCTATTCATCTGGCCCTAGCATCTGTTTCTCCCAAGGAATCCAACATTACTCCTGCCTGTCTCCACTGTCAAAAATTACCCTTGTCACTCAAAACCTGCTTTTTCTGTGATATTTCTGTTCCAATTTCAACTGGATACAAGATCCTTCTCCTGGAACTTCCATGGGATCCTATGTGCACTTCTGTCTAGAGGCCTCCAATGCTGTTTGATGGTGCTGCTGGTCTTTTGTTTGTTTCTCAAGACAGAGTTTCTCTGTGTAGCCCTGGTCGTCCTGGAACTCACTCTGGACCAGGATGGCCTTGAATTTAGAGATCCTCCTGCTTCTGCCTCTTGAGTGCTGGGATTAAAGACATGCACCACCACCACCACCCAGCTTGCAATCCTGTTTTAAACACATGCTCCAGTCTACTTAGTACCCACAGGCCCAGGAAAGAAGGGGCTG